GAGCAGATCAGAGGAAGATGGAGTGAAAGAGAAGCTTAACAACAAAAGAAGAAGAAGAAGGGGGAAAAAAAAATTGGTCCAAACGACGTCCTCTTTTTCTTCTCTTTCATCTCTCACCCAAACACACAGAGATGAAGATGGATGGCCATAGAATGGATTCAACTCAGCACCATTAACAAAAATTGCAAAATTATCTACAACTAGCTCTTCCTCTGTTATCCATATCTCTCTCTCTCTCTCTCACATACACACACACATATATGTATACATACATATATATATATATGAAATTGTTTTCAAATATTGATATGAATTTAAAATTGTATATGAATCTAAACTTCGTGAATCTGATGTTGAAGTTTTCAAACCCACTTTGTTTTCAAATATATGTATATATCCAAAAAAAAAAAAAAAACTTCATGAATGATTTGTATGTTCCAAAAACAAACACAGATGATCTTTGCCAAGAAAAACAGTTGATTTTTTTTTTTTTCAAATCAAGTGTATGTTTAAAAAAAAACACTTCATGAATCAAACCCACTTATTTTTTTTCAAAACAAGTTTTTCAAATCAAGTGTATGTTTAAAAAAAACACTTCATGAATTAGACCCACTTGATTTTTTTTTTTCGGGCAAATGATCTTTGCCAATCTCTTCAAGGCGATACAGATCGGAACAAATCTGAGACCATTGGAGCAGATCAGAGGAAGAGGAAGTGAAAGAGAGGCTTAACAGCAGAAAGAAAAAGCAAAAAAAAGAAAAGAAAAAAGAGTCCAAAACGACGTCGTTTTGGACCGCTACAGGAGCCACTACAGGAAATCACGGCAGACGATCCGGACTAGAATGGATAGATATTGGGCTCTAAAATATGTAAATGGGTCATATAGTTGAGGTCCAATGAATGATCATGAACCTCTTTAATGAACAATTCGTTCATTTAGGGTTATAAATGAACGAAACTGTTAATGAACAATTCGAGTTCAATTTGTTTAAAAGTTGTTTGAGCTCGGCTTGTTTATTAAATGAACGAATTGGAGCTCGATTTTTAAGTTCGTTTATTAATTGAGCCGAGCTCGAGTAGTCTCAAACTCGGCTAGATAAGCTCGTGAATATAAAGAAAATAAATTAATATTTATTTTTAATAATATATCTGGTAAATTTTTAAGAATTTATTTTATTTTTCTATTTGTGTTTGGTATTTGTATAAATTTACATATTTCACTAATAAAATTTATTATTAATATAAGCATTTTTGTATATTTTGTTCATAATTTTTTTATATTAATAAATAAATAAATAAATTTAAATTTAATTTTTTTTTCAAGTTCAAGTTCAAACTCGGCTCGTTTATGTAATCGAGCGAACTCAAGCTGAGCTCGAGTTTATTAAATATTTCACGAGCTGAACTCGAGCTCAATTATTTAAGCTCGACTTAAGATCGAGCTCAACTACTTCTTAACAAACAAGCTTGAACACTTAAAAGTTCGACTCGGCTTGTTTGTAACCCTAACTGCAACTTTTGAGTGGTGGTGGCAAATAAGGCCTTAACTCAACGTGTTAAGTCAGAATAATGCTGTAAATGAATTGAGTTGTTTGTAAATTTGACTAGATTTAATAAGGGCTTCAGTTTATTAAGTAAATAAAGAAATGAGTTTAAGCTAGACTAACAAAAGAGTTTAACTTAGACTTTTTAGGCACATTTAGTAAACAAACCGAACTCGAGCTCGGTTGGTTCATTTATTTATTATTTACATAATATGATAAATATGTTATTTATATATCAAATAATGTAAAAATATGTATAAATAATAGAATAATTATGTTAAACAATATTAAAAATTTTCATTATCAAGTTTCAAGTGGAATTCTACCTGGATTAATTATTGAGCCAAGCTTGAGTCTCACAAAACTCGGCTCGACTCAGTTCGTTTACGGCCTTAGGTTAGGCAATCTAAGCCTAACCTTTTTAGCATTGTGCAATCTGTTAAATCAAATTGGATGAAAAGATTTCTATCAATTCTGAAAAATAAAAGAGATTATTGTTTTGCACTTTCTAACTTGAAACTGGCCTTTTCATAGATAATTTTTTCACTTTATTTAATTATTATTTTTTAATAAGTAGTTTTTTCACTTCAGGCTCATAGAAGCCAAAGACCTTGCAAAATTTTCACATACAATGTTTTTATTGACCTATAATAGAAGACTTCACTTTTACAATGCTATGCTACACAAAATCTATACAAGATAGTACAATGTTATGTCATGGCGGTTAAGTTTGCATAATCTGTTTTTGAAAACTTTTCAAAAACTAGTTTAGTGAAAATAAAAATAAAAACTCATTAAGTTTTTTTTTGTGTTTATTTTGTGAAATTAATTTGTAATATTTTTGAAAAAATTTCATAAATAGATTCTCAAAACTCAACCAAATAGGTACTTAAGACTAAAAGTCAAAATAGTGTTTGGTTGGTGCCAAATTCGAGTGAATTCTATAACAAATCCAGAACTCTTGCAACTCATCATATCACCAAGTGAAATGCAATAATACAGCAAACATAGAAAAAAAATAAAAATAAAAATCAATGAATCAAACTACATGACTTTGAGGAAGAATTCAACTTATAGGAGTCATAATCAAGCGCTACACAAACCATCAGAAATTGAATGAAAAAAATGAAAGTAAAATGAATGGAACTACATGACTTAGGGAATTGACTATTTTAGTTATTTTTTTGACTTTTTATGAAAAACATATGAAAAAGTAAAGAGAAGAGTTGCCTTTGTGGCTTCTTGACTATTGCCTATTGCCAAAACAACAATAATCATACTTTCCTGAACATAACAAGTTTTAGATTGATGAAAGTAAATATTGCTCAAGAAAAGTGAAAAAAAGTGTTCAGGCAAATGGATGTACAACAATGAAGCAAAAATCTAAACAAGCCAAGAGTTCCAAAAAATGAAGAACAAGAAGTATAGTATTTCAATATTGCAAGAACATTTTTAGAGGCAAACTGCGCAATTAGCACCAATTTCAATAATAAACTGCACAGTTTTAAAAGAGTGAACAAGGAAAAGCTTATAATATCTAATTTTTCTGTAATCAAAACAATTGCTGGTAGGAAACATCAAGATATAAATAGTCATGAAGAAAATCTGAATAGCAATTCGATAGAACAAGAACACAATCCACAAAGCTGCGCAAATTAGAATTCACATATGCCAGTGTGCTCATCTAAAAAATATAATACTAACGAAAATTTACAGTACCCTCCATGAATTTTACAAGTAAGCTTGTAATAGTGATCAGAAACCACTTGCAATCTTTTTTATTACTGGAAGAGGCTGCTTGCAATCAAACAATATGTCACAAAAAAGGAACTTATACTGGACCAAAACATCTTGTCTTCCACTTGCAACAGAAATCTTCAGTTACGGCTGGCGACATATTGCATGCCATGTTGATGCATCCAAGAAGTTCGTAAGAACCAGTGCAAGGGACGAAATTTTGTACATAGTGTCAAACACTAATCTTTGATCAACCTGGTTTTCTGCATTCATACAAACTGTAAGATTTTTCTGTTTCCGTTTGATTATACAGAGTTGTTTTTTGGATATTTGTTTATGTTCTGTTTCAACACTGTCATAGAATCACAAAATAGTGTTTGTGTTCTTCTTTCTAATACAGATTTTGGTTTTCATTTTTCTGCTTCAAAGAGTTTGTGTGTTTTGGTTTCTGGTTTATACAAAACACAGTTGTATTTCTGATTTGTTTTAATTTTGTTTTAAACATTACAACAACACACAAACAGTAGTGTTTTTCTTCCAACAGCTTTATAGTTGTTGAATATCTAGAGGAGCTGTTTCCTGTTTATTTTGGGCTGTTATGTACTGGGGGTGTTTGTTTAGTTAGTATTATCTTGGGGATTTTGTGTTTTATAGAGGGAGTTTTAGTTGGTGTCATGCCAACTTGCTTTTGTTTGTTCTCTTGGCCTTGGTTATTGTGATTGGCAGGTGGTATGTTCCAAGGATGCTAATGAGCTTAGCTTTTTATTGATATAAGTTTGTTATCTTTTGCCGCATCAATAAAATTTCACCTTTTTCGGATTAAAAAAAAAAATAGAGGTTTCGTGGAAAAAAAAAAAATGTTTAGAACTCACTATTGTTGAAGAAGAATTGGTTCACAATAATGCTTTCTGTTACAAGAATTCGGATACATTTGTTGGGTGTGGATATTAGTCCAAGTATCGGATAAATCTAATTTTCATTTTCCACCCCCCAAAAGATTTTACTACTACACAACAAAATTTCATACTTTTTTAAATACAATTTTCATTAGGCTCTATTTGTTTCGACGTAATATTTTCCATTGTTTCATTGAACCAAAAGTAAGTAAAACATTTTTTAAGAAAAATATTTTTGGTCATAATCTCCCAAAATGATTTGCCATTAAAGAATTTGTAAGTTGATTTTTAGGAAGTTTACTTCCAACTAGGCCCTTCAAGCACATTAATCTTTTCAAAGATAAAATGGTGACTCTTCATTGATTTCTATCCATGCAACAATAGAAATTTTTGGTTTTAAAGTGTCAACCATTTCTTTATTTATTTTCGTGCAAAATCAATTTAGAAGAAAAATATTTTCGAGTATAAAATATTTTACATCAAAACGAATGGAACCTTAACTATTGTCTAGTTGTCCATGGACACGTTCATATGCCATCCTAAGTAGTATTTCACCAATTTAGAGTAGTGTATGCAACATAACTTTCAAGATCTAACTAGCCTTGTAACAAATGTAGAAAAAATTAATGAAAAAAATGTTTAAGATCCCCCTAAAATGTTTAGAATAGTTTATTCCCAACATGGATTGTTATTATAAGTTGTTGATTTATTTTAGGTTGTGTTTGGATCAATGATTTGATAAGGAATTTGAAAAGGAATCTTGTCATCAAAAAGAAATAATAAATAAATTAAGACCACATGAAATGAAAGCAGAAGCGCGTACCTGATTGAGTGAGAAGGAGGCAGCAATCTTGTCATTGATACACGAAATATTCAAACATTTGACCTTTTTTTTCTATCAAGCAAAGAAAGAGAGAAGCGGTGGAGTGAAAATTATTAATAAATAAAGGTGAATGGAATGAAAAATGATATACAACTCATTTTCTATACTCATTGATGTATAAGTCAAATAATTGACTGATAATTAAAGAAAATATCAGAGAAAAAGTAATCTTAAATATTCTAATAAATTGTCATATTATTAAGTTTAAAAAATAGGTTTAATTTTGAGGCCTACACAGCATCACCTTTAATAAATAGAGGTGAATGGAATGAAAGAGATTTTCCACCAATCTAGGATATAGGAATTTTTGCAACTCAGGTATAATGTCACTCTATGATGGACCAAGAGATTATATGCATTTGAAAACTTAATTATTTTAGGTAACTTGTGTATTTTTTTTTAAATTAAATGTTTGTTTAAAAATATATAATTTAATTTTGGCAATTTTTGAACGATCCATAATTTTTTTTTTTTTTTTTTTTGGGCATGATTAAATTGTTGCACAATTGTATTGCACAATTAGTACCAATTAAAAATTTACATATGTTTGGCAATATTGTTTGTCGTAGAAATATTGGATAAATTGACTAAAGATATATATAAAAAAAAAATTATTTTTTATTTATTTTTAGTAAAAAAATTTATTTTTTATTTTTTAGATTTTTTCACAAATATTTGAATTTTTTTTTATAAAAAATTTGTCTAAAATATCAAAAAGTTTCTAAAGACAAAAAAATAAAAATAAATTAATGAGATAAAAAAACTCAAACATATTTTACAAAAATTAAACCGAATAAACTAATTTTTTTAACAAAATTCTACAGCACACAGTGTTGTTTAATGTATGTAAATTTTAAATTGGTACTAATTGTACAATACTATTGTGGAACAATTTGATAGTTAAAAAAAAATAAATACAAAAAAGATAAACAAGTTATCTAAAATAATTAGGATTCCAAATATATATATATATTTTTAATTGTGTAATCTCTTAACCAATCATAAAGTATTGCATTACTTGGATTTAGCCGTGACAAATGAGCGGATTTAAATGAATTGGAGGAGAACCTTTTTCCAAATGGAAGGAATTAAATGAATTATTGATAGATTAATTTCTTACATCATTTTTTTTTCATTCTAAAACATAAAAATAACTGGGGTTCACATCAATAACTGCACGTGACAATCATTAAGTTGGATCTAGAAGTGAGGAAAAAAAAAGAAAAGATGACAAATAAAATTATATATAACATTTTCTGTTATTTAATTGTTGAAAATATTTTATAGCGTGTTAGCAAAGATTAAGGATTCTCTAGAGTGAAATTTTTCTAAAGTTTCTTAGAGTGCTACATTGTGTGGTTGAGATTTACTGACAAGTCAAACTTTAGGAAAAAATCACTCTAGAGGATGCTTGCTCGTTAGCAAATACCTGACTAGAAAGTTGAGAAGATTTCTGACTACCGAATGCTATAGTTTAAAACACAGAGTAATGTTGTGTTGGAGCGAGAGTGCGTTGATCAAAGCTGAGTTCAGAATCCGTATGTAGTAAGGGGATGCGAGCAATCTTATGCCAGTCTTGTCCTTCCTCCCTTAGGCAACGAGGTTTCAACAATGGACACTCCAAGATTTCCAGCAGAAAGAGGGAGGTTGGAAGCCCTTCTTCCGGCAAGGATTGGAGTTGAGGGCACCCCGCAATCCTCATGTTTTTGACAGAGCCAAGATGTTGAAGGCCCCTGTTGTTCAGCGATTTCAGATTTGGCAGGTCTTCGATCTCGAGCGACATGAGATTCGAGGGCAACAGACCCTCCTCCGGAAATGACTCTAGCACATCTTCTACATATTCACCCGAGATTAAAAAACGTGTAAGAGAAGGGAGTCTTTGCAAACCCCACTCTCTCCTCTGAGCCACAAGTTTCGCACAATTCCCGATTACAAGACTATGTAAGCTGGAGGGCAGACCCCCTTCCGGAAATGACTCAAGTCCTGGGCAGTTCCATATACGCAATGATTGAAGAGATGCGAGGCTATGCATTCGATCGGGCAACGACTTGAGTTTCTTGCAGTTCCAGAGACCAAAACTTTTCAGATTGGGAGCTATTAATACTTGTTGCGAAAAAGATTCCATATTAGAGCACCCATCCAAGTAAAGCCATTCGAGTGATGTGAAATTTTGGAATCCAAGCCCGTTTAGAGTTGAAAGAGTCACAAAATTTTTACAGTTTTCGATGTTTAGAGATTGAAGCTTTGGAAACAATCCTAGTGGCAGGGATGAGAGAGAATCACAGGTGGCCAAGGACAAAGATTCCAGGGATGTGTAGCAGTTCACCATCTCCTCAGATAGTGGGAAAACTAGTTTCGGACAGGCACGAACAAACAAATGTTTAAGGCAACTGTTGAGACGCATCACTCTCTCCGGCAAACAACATATAGCCCTACAATCAATGATTGTAAGGCCTGTAAGCATGGGCGGCAACCTTGTGTCTGGAAATAACAATAGGTCTGGACATTGCACTATCATCAACTCCTTCAGATTTATTAAGGTATATAGTTCGGGTGTCAGTTCCTTCAAACTTGCAGATGAAATTTCCAAATTTACGAGAGAAGACAAACCTTGCCATCCCAATTCTACACTATTGCATCCCTGCAATACTAATTGATTTGCAGCACATGTCCTAGGAAGTGAAGCCATAAGCCCTGGGCAGTCCCTAATCTCAACTCTCACCCAAGATGGAATGTGTTTGGGTAAGCCTCCAATCAGTTTCGGACAGTTGGTTACCCGAAGCTCTTGAAGCCGAGAGAACTCTCCATCATCTAATATATACCATTCCTCCCAATCCAACATATTGGAAAAACTAAGAGTCTCTAGAGATTGAAATGGTTTGCTTAAAGAACAATCCCCATAGAATTCAGGGCCCACCTTTGTTATGCTCGGCATCCCAGAAATGGTAAGATGTTTCAAAGAGGGCAGTTGACCAAGCGACGGCAAGAAAAAGCAATCCTCACAATTTTGCAGAGACAAATACACCATATTACAGAATGATTGATCTCCCAACCATTCCGGAAATCTTGTGCCTCGGTACCTGTTTACCTCTAGGTGTTTCAAGTTTGTATGAGGTTGTAGTTTGTCAAGTACATCTCTTTCACTTTCTGAATCATTAGGATTTCCACTATCCCAGCTCAGCACCAATGTTCCTATGAACTTTTTCTCCTTCAGCTTTGCTTCCATTGCATCCGTGCAACTCGTTATATTTTGCAAACATGAAATGGAGAGGCTTCCACGAAGATGATGAAACTCCTTCAACTCATTAATACCTGAACAGCTACACTTTCCCACTACGAAGGCAGTTAATGTTTGGAGATCTTTTAATCGACTCATTTGCATTGGCATCTCCCTTAACTTACGAGTTCCACTGATATCAAGATGACGCAAGAAAATTAATTTTCCAATCTCTGTTGGCAAGGTAGTAAGATTATAGCAATCAATCAATAGCAATGTTTGTAAATTATACAGGTTACAAACAGACTCTGGCAATTGTAGGATTTGCGTGTGAGAGAGATCCAAATAGCGTAGATGCACCAAATTGCCAATTATTATTAAGATTACGAAAATCCGATAATGTGGCAAAGACAACACCCTTAAGCAAATTAGTCTCGACAAAATAACATCCAAAACCATTTTACTCAACCAGTTCCAAGCATATCTACGTCCTAAAGGTAGGAACGTCCTTAAAAACTTAGCCTCATTGATTACCTTGAATCTTTGAAAGTCGTCAAACCTGCCTCTAGTATATGAGAAATGGCGTACTTTGTCAGCAATAATATGTGGCTTGTCATTCTCTAACCGCAAACAAAAATTTCCAGACACAGATTGAGCTAAATCATTAACAAGATCATGCATGACAAAACAAGATGCTCTAGCACTTTGCTGAAATAATGATACTGACAGCAATTCATTGAAGCATTCATAACCTACTTCTTCCATTGTTGTGTACTTCTTGGCTTCACAAAACCTTCTGCAATCCATAATAGAACTAATTCCTCATTTCAAAATTCATAATCTTTGGAAATATGGAACAATAAGCAAAACATCTCTTTAAATGTGCAGGGAGATAATGATAGCTCCAATCTTAATGCTGGAAGAATGTTATCCTCTGGCAAATCCCATATGGCACTTTTTCAATACATTATTCCAATCCTCAGCATCCCGTTAGAGCGCAAAAGACCCGCCAATGTTTTTGCAGCTAAAGGCAAACCTTTACATTTTTTCACGTATCTCTTGCCAATATTTTCAAGGTTTGGATGTGAATTGGAATCTCCCTTCTCAAATGCATATTTGGCAAACAATTTCCAGCAATCTTCAAATGGTAATTTCTGCAAACGATGAATATGAACGGTTTTCATGACAGATGCAACTCTGTCTTTGCGTGTTGTAACAATAATCCTACTCCCATGTGCGCCATATCTAAAACTGACTCAAGCTTTCCCAGTGACCATAGTTCTCATTCCAAACATCGTCCAGGACGACAAGAAATTTCTTCCCACTCAACAACTCCTTCAGCTTGACTTGAATCATATCTAGGTTCTTGGCATCACAAGCCTGTCCAGTAACTGCCTCAAGAATTGATCTGGTAACGCTTAGAACATCAAATTCTTCAGAGACACAAACCCATGCTTTCATTTTGAAGCGATCAACCACTCTATCATCATTATATAAAAGTTGAGCAAGGGTGGTCTTGCCAACCCCACCCATCCCACTATTGCAATCACACCTATCTGATTATCATTACTACCACTTGCGTCATCACCGGAGAGCAGCACCTTCATTACATCCTCCTTGTCAAAATCCCTTCCATAAACACCAGATTCATCGACAAAAGAGAGGTTTGGGACTTGACAAACCAGTTATTATGTCCAGGAACTTCTCTCAACCGAGGACATCTTTCTTTTGTGCAAAATATTCCAAGTCATCAATGATCTTCTCTAGCCTGGACTCTATCCCCGCATCAAAGAAAACTAGCAGTAGTAGAGACAGAGGATGTCAAGGTCAGAGGGATTAAACTTAGTACCTGGCTTAGGCGGCTGTGGCTGCTAGTGCTGCTGCTGCTTTGGTAGTCGGCTTCGGACTTGGAGCGCAAAGCCTCGGTAGCAATTTCATCTACTAAATCATCTGCGTGGTAGATGACATCTTTAAGCTCTTCGCCCACTCTTTTCACAGCTGGGTTAGTGATTGCTTGTTCTCAGCATCATTCAGCACAGCACGAAGTTCCAGCAATGATAGGTTGAGCTTCTTGAGGAGTCTATCGCCATCCTTTCGGCCCGGAAGACGTTGATGACCTCGCGAGAGGCCAACCGATCAAACAACACTTGAAGGTAGCAGACAGAAATGCTCCCCCAACCAACGCGTCGGCCATGTTTTCTTTTCTTTTTTCTTTGAAAAGGAAAAACAGAGTGCTGGGTGGGTTGCAAGGAGAAGAACGAAGATCAGTTTGCTCCAATATGCTAGTATTTTTTTTTTGGGGGGGGGGGGGGGGGGGAATGGTGGTAAATTATAATATACCCATCAGATTTGATTAAAATACAAATGGTCGTTTATAGTTTTGAAAATTTTATTTTATTATTGGAGTTTCTAATTTCATAACAAATTGTCTATTCTATTAATAAATCATCTAATCAATTAACAGTTTTAAATGATGTTAGAAGTATATTTCAATTAATAATTTAAGTAATTTTATTATTGAATAGGAAAGTAATTATGAATTTTATTTTTTTAATTAATTCTGTTAAATAAATTTTTTTAACAGGGGAATATTTATAATTCTTCAAACCACAGAGGGCAATTTGTACTTTAAATAAATCTCAAGAGTATATTTCTAATTTATCTTTTTTTCAAATAATTAAAAATTAAATTGATGTATAACGTTTTGTAGTAGAAAATTTCTTTGTGACAAGTTAAAATTTATATTTTTGAAGAGCTAAAATTTCTTTGTATCAAAATTTTTCTGTATAAATATTGATAGATTTTAACTATTATGAAAATATTATATGTCATTTATTTTATTAAATATTAATATTATGGACCTTAAACTAAAAATCTTTTTTTGCTTTGACTTTAGGAAAAAATAGTAAAACATCATTCTCTAATTTTTTATAAAAAGAAAAGTTTAATATATTTTTTCTTATTAGTTAAACTCCCTTAATAATATTATTAGAATTTAAGTTCGTCACAAATAAACTTCAATTCGTCATAGAGAAATTTCACTGCGGCAAAATTTAAAAGAGTTGAAATTCTTCTGTGAAGACAATTTTTACTATGCCAAAATTTATCTGTATTGAAATTTCTCAGTGAAAACATTAAGAAATCTCAACTATTATAAAAATATTATATATCTTTTATTTTATAAAATCTTAAACACTATTTGGCATAAACTAAATAAGTGCACTTATTTGAATCACATTACTTCTTTACTTTTCTATATATATTTTGTAAAAAATTAAAAAAATATATTTATTTAGATCATTTAAAATAATTTCGAATCTTAAACTAAAAATCTCAATAAAAAATTGAAGAAATATAAACATATAAACAAAGACAGAAAAATCGAGGAAGGAAACAAGCGAATGCACTAGGAAAGAGCGGTCGGTGTACCTACCTCTATCCACTCTTGTCCGCATGCGTCGGCGGAAGCGGAATGCCCCACGGCTCACGGCCCACGGCCCACGTCCAACACGTGTTCGATTTTTACACGTAGGCCATCTCTTTCAGCAATAATGTTTTACCATCTCACAATTTTGCTGATAGATTAAGAAAAACAAAAAAACAAAAAAACAAAACAAGGGGCGACGAGATAATTAAATTTAAGGGAAAAAAAAAGATTGACAAGTAATTTTTTATAATTTTTTATATGTCAATGTTGTTATCAAGAAATTGATTGCGTACATTTAAAAATGGGGTCATACATCAGTAATAAAGTTATAATTTTACGAAAATTATATATAAAATAGATTAGCTTACTGACCGTATTATTTGGACTCTAAACTTATCATGAGTAATGTCTTTAGAGGTGGGCGCCGTGCGATTTAAATAGTTTGAAAATAAAATTATAAATTGAATGGTGAATTGACAAATTAAATAAATCATAATTTGAGCAATTTTAGATAGATTAACGGATTGAAAAATATTATAATCAATTATCAAATATTTACATAATATTTTTTATATATATAACATAAATTAATTTTACATAATATTTTATTTATATATAACTATTAATTTGTTACAAATTTCATATTTTAAATTTCTCTCACACTCATTTTTACTCTGATATTTCATTACAGGTTAAAAAATATATATCTATTAACTATAGCGGATCAAAGCGGTTTCGAAAGCGAATTATAAATTTTAAAGTATAATTCGTGATTAGCAAATAAAGTGGTACTGATTGATACAGATTAGTGCGATTTTAGCAGATTGAGCAATATTTTGCACATCTCTACTCGTCTTTATGATCCGAATCATTTATTTTTTAGACCACAACGTGTAAATTATCTGTAAAAAAATATAAAATAAAAAATTCAAATCAATCCAATAATTGTAACTACATTAGTTTATTACATTTGTCTCCTAAAATATGAATGGTCTGGTTTTCAAATAATATTTGTCATTACAACAATTGTTTTTTAAAAAATAAATCATACATTTTTTAGTAACAAACGTAATAAATTGAATAAATTACAGTTATTGGATTGACCTAATTTTTTTTGTGAACGAAATACACTAAAAAATAAACGATTAGGATCATTGAGACAAGACCCGTAATGGGTCCCATAGACTCAAACAGCACTGTCCAGTCAACTTGCTGCCTAAAAAAAAATCTTAAATTTTGAGCTTTGTAACAACATAAATTCTAAATTTTTAATTTTATCAATTTAAACCTTAATATTTTGATTTATTTTTAATTTAAATTATTTGTCTATTTCGTTAAATAAAATCAATAAAAAAATATTTTAATTATTAAACTTAATGAAAAAGAATATTTTAGATATTTTTCCATACACCAACTTATATTAAGTAGAATAACTAAAATATCATTTTTCTTTTAATTTTACTTAACGAAAATAGACAAATAATTTAAATTGAAAACAAATCAAAACAATCAATTTTAATCTGATAAAATTAAAATCTTAATGTTTGTTTTGTTATAAGGCTTAAACATTAGAGTTTTTTTTTGTAATTTTTTCTATAATTTTTTATGATAAAAATTAAAAATATTTATTAGATGTATTATATTCTTTTGTGATAAAAATTATAAATATTAAACTAAAAATCTTTTTTTGCTTTGACTTCCAATTTCTTAAATCACTTCTAAAAAAGCCAAAAAACTTGATAAAAAGCCAAAGAAAAATGATACAGACCACTAATTAGTGGTTGCACTAGGGATGTGGCAGTTGTGTTTTGTGTTTTGTGTTTTGTGTTTTTTTTTTTTTTTTTTTTTTTTTTTTTTTTTTTTTCCCCCTTTTTTTGGGGGGTTTGTTTTTTTTTTTTTTTTTTATTTGATAAAACCGTAGAGAAATCTATTTACTTTTCTGTTATAAAATTTAAATTGAAGGTCGTGGAGGCGACAGAAAATGATAAAGTAGCAAACTTATTGATTAATATGATTTTTAAATCTCGGTTGACAATCTTCAGTTTTAGCTAAAAAATCATTACAAGTTGTCACATTACTCTTTACTTTTCTGCACATCTTTTCGCAAAAAATCAAAAAATTAGTAAAATAACATGTTCCCAAACAAGACCTTAGTATAAGGTCCATGATGGTAAAATTTTATATGATAACCGACATGCAATATTTACATAGTAGTTGAGGTTTTTATAGAGAAATTTTGGTACAAACAAATTTCAACTCTTCAAAGAGAAATTTCAACTCGTCACAAAGAATTTTTCTGTGATGAACTTAAATTTCTCTAATAATATTATTGAGGGCCTTTAATTAATAAGAAAAAAGATATCCAACCTCTCCTACTATCAAAAGTTGAAGATGTTTCACTAATTTCTCCTTGATTAATTGAACAAAAATGCTTAATAGAATTTAAACATTCTTCAAATCTTGCCAAGACATTACATTTACAAAAAAAGAAAGAAAAGAAAAAGACAAAAAAGAAAAAACAAAAAATTGCAAAAAGAGAAAAAAAAAAAAAAAAAAAAAGAGAGAGGGAAAATTGCATTTCAATAGAATAATGGAGAAAATTTTTTATTTACGGTGCAAATCATTTCATATGTTTAGTGCAATTCTATTTTGTGTGTTAGAATTGCACCACAATTTTTTTTATGCAATTGTTAAATGAGTGTCTCACCTATTTCTAATTTTCACAAAAAGAAAGGTGCAAACTTACGTTTTGTTACTATATTTAAAGAGAAATTATACTAACACTCAAAAAGCTACATATCATTATTTTTTTTTTAAAGAAAAAAAAAAGATAAATTAAATTGACCTCCTTTTAGATTTATAGAAAATATAATAAATTTCATAATTTTTGTCATAATTACACCGACTTCCCTTTTAATAAAACTAAAACAATTGAAACTAATATAAGTGTGAAGACACAAAGATAAACAACGTAAAATATATATTTTAATGCAAAAAAGATGACAACACTTTTATATTCGTATGACTAACAAATTTTTAATGACAAAAGGACTAAGATTTATATGAATTAAAACCTTAAAGAAACCAAATGTAATTATGTCAAAATTATAAAATTTACTATGTATTTTTCAAACCTCAACAGAGATCAATATAAGGGAAATTTTATATGCACACCACATGAAATCCCACTAAACACTATTTGTGTCATTTAAATATAAACTTTCAAATAAAAATTAAATATTCAAATCTAAACTTATAAATAAAAATGAATTATTCAAATATAAATGATATTTACTGAGATTTTCTGTAGTATATAAATAGAATTACCGTCAACGTAATTTCCCATTAAAAAAAAATTAATATGACTCGTTGACCATATCATTTTCTGGCATAATCAAAGAATCCAGTTATAGAGACACCATTTTTTATAAGGTATTATTTCGTTTCATTCTCAAATCATAATTCCACCTCCAGATTTTGACTTTCTATTTGATTATAATTTTCAAAATATAATTCTGAATCACATTTCAGAATGCATTTGAAAACATATTTGATAAACTAAAAAGTTTTTGAATTTTTGAGTCTACCTGATCGTTCGCCTAGACATCCTCCTGAATGCCTAACCGGTTGACCGGAACAGTACTTTTTCTTTTTTTACAATTGCCACCTGTTATTTGAAAAAAAAAAATTATATTTATTTTTGATATTTTTTAAATAAAGAAATATTTTTTTAGACCAAAATAACAAATTATTTGGCCGTTTATTTTTTAAATAAAAATTAATTTGTCACAGTAATTTTGAAAAAAAAAACATTTTTAAATAAAACAATTAAAAAAATTTCTAACCAAATATACAATCAAAAGTAATTTTAAAACACTAACTGAATATTTTTTTTTAACAAAAAATAATATTTTTTTTTAATATTTTAAATAAAAAATATTTTTGGAATTTTTGAATTATTTAAATAAAAAAATTATTTATTTCAATAATTATTTTTTGAATTGAATTTTAAAAAATTTTTGGTTATGAACTTTGAATAGAATTTTCAATAGAGTTTTGAGTTGTGTGTTTTGTTATGAATTATAAATTTTTGAATTAAGTTTTGAAAACTCTTTTCAAAACTCATACCCAAACAACTTTTCTTATTTTAAAACACATTTAAAAAATTCAAAACTCTTTTCAAAACTCATAATTAAGCAAATTTTCTCTTTTCAAATTATGATTCAACAACTCACAAACTCAAAATATAACTCCATTCTCAAGTCATAATTCTAAAACTAAACCAAACACAACCTAACATTTTCTATCACCTATTCACAATGGAAATGGGCCCCACATGCGATAGAAAATGCCATAAAATAAAATTTTAAGAAAGAACAAAGGAAAAACTACAACTAACAAGTGAGACAATTTCAAACTAATTATATAGTATGGTATTTTTTTTCTTTTTTTTGCAAGTCTAACCCACAGAAAAGAGAATTGGCCCAAACACAATAAAGGCTTTAATCATACACATAAAAGACTTGCAGTATCACAAAAATAGAATTATTTTCCCACTATAAACCCGAAATGTAGGAAGAAAAGAAAGAAGAAAATAAAAAAGACCCATGACCCATTCAAAATGTCACGGAGCACACTTCTAAACTCCAAACTACACCCAATAAGCTATAACCCCTTGAAGTTATTTCTCTAAATTAGTTCACCCCATCTATATTGTAAAAAAAAAAACAGCAAATACATTATATAAAAATAAAATAAAATTAGAGGAAAATTTTTTCTTACAAGTTGATATCACATGCAATAACAAAGTAATGATATTTGAAATGGGCCCACTAAAATTATGATAGGATAAACTCGATTGAGACAACAAATTATAAATTTAGTAAGAAAATTTTATTAGTACAGCATTACGCTTTTTAACATGCAATTATGGTGAAACACATTTTTTCAGCAAAAACGCTTTTCACAAATATTTTTTTAAAAAAACATCATTTTTGAAAACATCTCCTCATGTATGGTTGCTACAAAATAATACGTGGATTGAGGATGATCAGTTTGATCCTTTTTTTTTAAAACGATTATATACTCCTTATTAGTATTGGGTGGGTACAGAAGCTCTGGATGGCCTCAAGAGATGTTAATCGCAGACAGGATGGGTGTATATGCTATTCATTATAAATAGCCCTGATTCGGTTGCATAAATTTAATATAGATGCATCTCTATTTGGTAATATATTTGAAGAAACAACAAAATAAACTTACTTGCAATACAAACCCAAGCCCGGATGGTATAGCATTGCCACGTCCGCAGCCAGTAGAGACTCTTTCGCCAAATCTACTGCTAATTATCATTCAATTTTGGGAAACAAAGTAGCGTTGCCAGATCCAAGTCCAGATGGAACAGTATTGTATGATTCAATTCCGCTAATAAAGATTCATTCTCGGCATCATTTGCAAACCTTGATTGATTCTTCCACTGCTGCTTCAAAAATCAATTTCAATAGTTACTTTTTCAAAAAAGGATATGAACAAGCAGAACATTGAACCAGAATTCCAAGTTTTCACCTCAGGCCATAGTCATATAACCGGGGCAGTGCATGAAAACATGTAAATTTCCATTTCATTTGTTAGATGAACAAAATAAATCACTTTGATTTAACCATATGAAAGGTTCTGAATGTCGCAAGCCAAATGAGATTCTTTTCCACAACAAATGCTCGATAAAAAAACCCCATATAGTACACAATGGACACCAAGCTGAAAGAGATTTATATTTTCTGGGTTTATACATACACATGCTTCACCTCTTGAAACAATACTTTGTGCATCTGCCTCACCTAATTCACAATCCAGCATTCTGAAAGACGTCATGGTCCCAACCCATCTGAAATCAATGGGATCTTCAATTATTTTTAAGTAACATCCCCGCTGTATCAGAAAGGTCCAGACCTTTGGCATTATACTTGTGATACAATTAAGAAACTCCCTTGATGTGTCCTCAAACACTACATTTCGAGCTTGATTAAAAGCAAAGTTTGTTTCAAACGTATTCACCAATGCACAGTTACAGCATTTATAACCAGGGAAATGTGAAAGCTCTGCAATAGTTAACCCCCGTTTCACTAACAATTTCCACACACAGCTTCTAGCAACATTTAGTAAGGACTCCCCAGCACTTGTCCAGAAATTTGCAACAGATGTAACTAGAGAAGATTCAGATAGAAATAGATGATCGGTTGCACCTGCAAGCAACAAGGAGTATGCTGCACTAGTTCTACTCATATCGAAAGCTTCCAGCTGAAGTTCGTCCATTTCAGGATCCACAGCCAACAAATCACTTGCACGGGTTTCATAGGCAGATGCCAGTGTGGTGTAGGCACTCAAAGAGAGATGGTGGAGGGGATGCAACCAAAATTGTTGCTTTGATTTTTCTTCTTTTGATTCAAACTGCCCATCAAGGAGACCATGAGTAAGCAAGTTCTCAAGCTTCTCACAGCAAGATTTGGGATTACCAAATGTCAAATATTCAGTTATGGCATCATCTACATAGTCGGTCAACCTTGTAATGGCCTCGCATCTGTAGTAGTTGTGATCAGAACTCAAGTTGGCACAATTGCAATTGACAGCAGAAATTTCCTAACCAACAAAACGATCAATGTGTTAATGCTAATTCACAAAGTTCAGTTAAAGGATTTGGGAATAGTTACATTCTCACATGAAAGAAAATTGTGAAGCTCAAAAGATTGACACAAAAGGATATGGTTACAACCATGCTTAGCACTTGAAAATAAATAAATAAATAAATAAATGTATAAAAAAAAGTTTCGAAAAAGTTACTTAAACAGAAACTAAAAGTAGAGATAAAGACAAGGAAAGGAAGAAATCTCTTGCATAAGTTACGACTTAAATAAACAACTTTTTCTAGTTTGAATAGAAAAGAATTTCCAATACCATCTGGGTTCTGAGAGGAAAATTCAATTGTATTAAAGGATATGACTAGCAGGAACAAAATAGTGATCGGAGGTTTTACTAAAAATAAATAAATAAATAATGAAAAACTAGCAAAGCAATTGAAAGGTAAAAATTTTGCAACAGTTTAGATAATTTTCAGAGTGATATACGTCATGGAGCAAACAGAAAATGAAAGGGCTGCTACCAGAATATGTATGTCAGCAAGAAATGACGAGACACAAAGTCAGAAAAGAAGAAAGAGAGATTGAAGAAGAAAAATAAATTAATAATAATAATAATAAATTATGAGATGGGTCACAGACAGACAAAGATGGATCTACATCAACAATTTTAGTTTCATGGAACTCTCACCTGCAAAGTATGATCCACATAAGTTGGGGGCCATGCATTACATCGCTGACAGGAACAAGAAAAGCGATACTTCAACCATAACTCTGACTGCCTCTTCGCCTGGTGAAAAAAGAAAAACAAAATTGGCATATGAAAACATTCTGGATGATTGAACAATTGAACCCAGATAGATATGAAACTAAAATGCGCTAGGAAATCATTAAGTCTAATTTGAAGGTTCTAAATAAAAGTTGATTTTGATCTTGGCCACTCATACTAGTATAAGAAGATTCACTGTCCATATTGATCGAGGCAATGTAACATGGAAGGACAGGCACACACTTGCATAAGGCAGTGTTTGCATAACCAGTGGGGAACCAGTGGGGAATGTGGCCAAGTCATGCATAAAATTATGTATCAGATGGATCATTATAAGGCATGATGATACTCATAACCATTCTTAACTAGCTGCTTTGGCGTGTGAGACTTCCCATGCATGTTGCAATGCCATTCTGCTATTATCCTATTACCATTAGCGTGTGTATCCACTAATCAAATGGCTCATGTGTTTATTCGTAATGGATTATGTATATACATGTGTGTGTAGCCATGATATGCAAGTCACTAGTCAGATTATGTAACCTCTATGATTGAAGTAACAAAATTCTTCATTCTTTTAAATTCTATCTTAAACTAAATTAACCAAACTAGGAACATTATCCTCTATTTATTTATTATTTAGAATCTGACAATTTTATACAAATACTTTTATCGAAGGGAAGAACTATTAGGTCAGGTAGTTAGCCCCAATGCTTATCGACATTTAGATAGTTGTTCTACAAGTTAGTTACTGAACAAGTGATCAGTGGGTTAGTTGAGTTGTTAGAAGTCGGTTTTCAACTCTATATATATACCTCAATGTCTCTGTAACAGATATGAAAGAAATCAACAATAAATCCCTAGTTTTTCATCTTCTTCTTCAAGATTGATTGTCAAGTTCTGTCGAGAACTATGAACTAAGCCCAGCATATTTCAAGTTTTCAACCACCCCAGGAATTCTAAATAATCAAGACCATTAAAATATGATAAATTTTCTTTACCGAAAAATAAGTCTTAAAATTTTTCCCAATCCCAAATTACAATACAAACTACACTGAAGTGAATAATACCCGAATCCAAAAATTGTGATCATCTAATTATGCATTTAATTAAAATTTCAAAAGATGAACATAGTCCACTGAAAGAAAATAATAATAAAGTTTATTTTCTTCTCTCGCATTATAAATTAATTAATGGACTACATTCATTGTGGGTGTAACCTACATTTCACTAAGTTTAAATCTACACCATACACTCACTTTTCGAGATAAAATTTGAAACAAAATAGCCACCTAGGGACATTGGTCCAATGGCATACTTAATGCATTGAAACTCCACATAATCAGATCATTGAACAGCCCCTCTCACTGATTTCTTTTGGTTAATTTGTTAAATTGATATATAATAGCCCTTCTTATTGAGCAGGTGAGAACAAGTCTTATCCTTTCCAATAGGGGTGGGCAACGGATATATCGATCCACCCAAACCGACCGAACCGAACTGATCCGCCGCATTTTGGACAGATGCGTGATGACGAGCGGACGGTTGCAGATTGATTTTTTCCAATCCGCCTAGTTTTGGACAGATGACGGATTTGAGGTTCCTTTGGTCATAACCGAACCGCCAAACCGCGAGTACCAATAGTAATTTGTAAAATTTTGTGTTTTCAATTTGTTTAGGTATTCTATTTGTATTTTCAATTGAAAAATAGTTTAAATATTATGTTGAATATATTCTGTTGAAAAAGAGTTTTTAACTTGAATATATTTTTAGAATTGAAAAAAATAGATGTATTATTTATTTATATTTTTTGGTTTTTAAATCTAACTCTAAAAATAATAAATAAAAAAGATGATATATGCCGGTTGGTTTTTGTTTTAAAAAATATGTATAGATGTAACAATACAAATGCATACAATCTCTACTACTGCTCTGTTCATGATTTTGGTGATTTGAATTATTTTTATATTTTAAGAATCACAGATTGTAAAACTTTATGTAGATGAGGCATACTGTGATTGTAATATGTGGATGAGACATACAGTGATTGTAATATTCTAAAGTTTCAAACTTTTTTTCTTTGGATGAGGCATGCAGTGATTGTAATACTTTTTTTTTTGGAGGAAGTGCACAAGTTGAATTATGTTGAAAATTTATAAACCGTCAAACTGATTCGCATCTATCCACCAATCCGCCAATCCGCTCAATCCACATCCTCCGTATTGGCGGACGGATGCGGACGGATGACGGATTAGAGGTTCCGTGGCCGCAACTGACCCGCGCCCACCCCTACTTTCCAATTCAAGCGTACACAGTTTCCAATTCGTTTGTGTTTTGCGATGACGATAAACAAGGCTCAAGGACCAACTATACCCTATGTAGGAGTGTATTTACTTGAACACATGTTCTCTCATGGGCAACTACATGTTGCAGTATCTTGTGGAACTTCAATGGCAACAACTAGAGTCCTCATTAAAATGGAATCAAAAAAAAAAAAAGTGAAAGTAATTGCACAAAAAATATAGTTTACACAAAAGTTTTGACTTCATAAAGGTCCATTCAAATATCCCAAGTTGAAATACTCAAAATTGTATTGCAAACTTTCACTGTTATTGTTAAACTTGTATTGATTGATTTGTTTTGTAGGACCTATGAAGGAAATTAACCAAAGACAATAAAACAATTGATTTGAACATGAAAGCCCTTCTGTCAGCTAGTGTAGGTTCAGTACCTTAGTATTTTTCTGTATTGTGAAATTTGTTATTTCAACTCTGTTTTGAAATTTTTTTCAAATTTCGATTTTCTATTTAATTTTTAATATCTGATTACGCATGTGCTCTTATTCTATATTATGGAGTTCCAATTTTAATAATAATAATATTTATGGAGTTCTTATTTTAATAATAATAATAATATTACAATGTTAGTTGGGTGTTTTATTTCTTCTTTCTAATTACCAAGTGGTTTTTACATACATAAACATAACAAAAGTAAAACAATCTGGTGAATTATATATTTAATAGTAGTAAGTCCAATCATATAATATGAACTACAATTATTTTATGTGATTGGTTTCGATTTACTTTCAAAATTTTAATGTTTAAATATTAATATAAAAATATAGGATAATATGTGAAATGTTTGTACTAATTTGTATTCTTCTATCTTACAATTAATGCCCACTCATACGGTTTGGCCAATGCAACCAGGGCCGGCCTTGCCATAAGGCAGGTAAGGCTTGTGCCTTAGGCCCTAAATTTTGGCCCAAAAATAGGGCCCCCAAATTGAAAAATTGTTATAGGCCCAATCTTTTTTTTTTTTTTGGTTTTAAGATCAATTTAAAGGGCCCCAAATGTTTATTGGACCCATATATAATTTAGCCCATATTCATTTATAAATGTGTTTGGCCCATATTTTTTAAAATGAAAATATATAAATAAATAAAAAAAAAACTGAAAAGTGTTTGGGCCCAACCGAAAGTTTATCTGGTGTGGTGTGGGATTGAAAACAGCTTTGGAGGCTTTAAAGGGCCCCAAAACTGAAAATGTATTTAAAGGGTCCCAAAATGTGTTTGGGCCCAACCCAAACCATACATACAAATACAATATACAATACATACATGTCCAGTGCACTAGTGTGGTGAGTGAGTGCTTCTGTTTTCTATCTCTCTTTGACGAAACGAAGTGAAGTGATGAAATGAAATGAAAGACTTGAAGGCAGGCAGACAAAGAGCATAGCATAGCATAGACTCACTCTCCCTCTTTCACTATCTCTCACACACACTCTCTCTCATGTAAGTCCTCTCTTTCCAGTATCAGATTTTATTAAATAAAGTTGCCCTAATTTTTTTTTTTATATTCTTTCTCTATCAATTAGTGGAATAATAAATTTGCCTTAATTTTTTTATTACCTTCTTTGGCCCCGTTTGGTGTAGCTGTTAAAACAACTTATAGATTATAACTTAACAGAATATAGATTATGACTTTAATTAGAAGTTGTTAATCTGTTTGATGTAACTGTTGGATTATAAATTTAAGTTGCTGAGTAGTGTTTGTTAAATAAGCTGTGAAATAGCTTTTTCAATTAATTTTTATTTTTTGTTTGTCTACATTTCTCATAAAAAATAATAATAATAATCTATAGTCCATTTGAGTCTTTTTCTATTTTTAAAAAAATAAAAAATAAAAAAATTTAAGAGTATAACCATAAATTAACATGTCCACAGCAGAAACTAATAATCAGAAGCAAAGGGTGAGCAGCTTCTCAAAATCAGCCTTTTTGAATTAAAATAAGTTGTTAGAATCAGAAACTGTTTGAAATAAATTTAACCAAACAGTCCAAAATAACTTTTTCAAAGCTAAAAGGCATAAGTTGGCTCTGAAAAGCTGAAACAAACACTCCCTTTATCCATTAGATTTTAGTAGAATAAATAATTTAGCCCTAATTTTTTTACCTAGGTATTTATCAATTTTAATTGAATAATTTGTTTGCCCTAATTTTGTTTCATTAAATTATTTTTTTATAATTTATTTGCTATCAGATCAGTGGATTGAAGTGTTTGTGATTTGTGGATTGATTTGAAGTGTTTGTCATTTGTGGATTGAAGTGTTTGTGATTATAGCCATGTTTCTTAGGAAGTATAGTTCTGGAAATCAGTGTTTTAAAAAGTGCGCTTAGGGGCGCGCCTAAGCGCGAGGTGCAATGAGGCGCAGCCTTGCGCCTCGAACAGGTCGAGGCGAGGCGCAATACGTGAGGCGCAGCTTAGGCGCTGAGGCAAGGGCTTTTTTTTGAGGCGCGAGACGCGGGCTTCATGGGCTTTACCTATTTTTCTACTCTAATTGTCGATTAAGTGCTTTTTTTTGTGGACATGCCTATAGGAATACAAAACTCTTCAATATAAAATGACCAAATGTGGTCAAAAGAGAGTAGAAAGTGATAAAAGATTGAATGCTATGTTTTATATCTCTTGTTGGATATTATATTTCTAATTTTTAGAAGATTGAATGTTATGTTTAGAGATTATTGAAAATTGTTATGATTTTTTAAATTATGTATATATATTTTTTATGTTAAAAATTTTGCCTATTTTATAATTTTGCCTTTTTTAAATTATGTATATATATTTTATTATTTAAAAATAAACACATGTATATAAAATAAAATAAAAAAATTAATTAAAATACATCATTTAAAAAATATAATAAATAAATAAAATAATATATATATTAAAAAATTAATTATTTTTTTTCTTCTTATTAAAAAAATTAATAATATACATATTAAATATTTGTTTATGTTGAAAACTGTGCTTTATTAATATTTTGCTTATCTTCTACAACTTGAGCCTCGCTTTGGTGAGGCGCGCGCCTCGCCTCGCGCCTCGGGGCTTAAGCTCCAGGTGACCTTGGCGCCTCAATGCGCCTAGGGCTTTTTAAAACACTGCTGGAAATGAAAAGAGAAAGAAGTGGATGAAAGCAGAACAATTAATTCAATCTCAATCGGGAGCACTTGAAAAATATTTTGGTACCAAAAAACAAGTAGATATTTTGGGTTCAAATGACAATGATGATGAAGATTTGGTAATTGAAGAGCCTACTCATTGTGTGAGTAATAATGAGAATGATGATTTGGTGATTGAACAACCTAGTGAACATATGAATGAGAATGAAAATGAGAATGAAGATTTGGGGAATGTAGAATCTAGTGAAAGTGAAGATGTCAATGTTGAATGTGGACCTCTAAACATTTATGACCCTAGTAATTGGGACAAGATTGATCAAAATTTAAGGGATTTACTAGTTGAAAGAGGTCCTATAAGAGGTAATGGTGTGAATTTTCCCCTAGATGACAAAGATAGGCATTTTTCTTCTACATTTTACATGCGATAGTTACAAAATGGAGAGAAGCATGATAGGAAGTGGCTAGTATATTTAGATGGTTCAGACAAAGTGTTTTGCTTTTGTTGCAAGTTGTTTAAGCAAGATGGGAACAATATTCATTTGGCTACTGGTGGATTGAAAGATTGGAAGAATACGGGCAACAGGCTTAGAAGTCATGAAACTAGTAATGAGCACTTTATTTGCATGAGCAAATGGATTGAATTGGAAAGTAGATTGAAGAAGAATGAAACAATTGATAGAAGTGTTCAAGAACAAATCAACAAAGAGAGGGAACACTGGAGACAAGCGTTACTAAGGATAATTGCTATTGTGATCACTCTTGCTAAAAATAATTTAGCTTTTCGTGGAGACAATAAGAAGATTTATCAAGAAAGAAATGGAATCTTTTTAAGCTTAATTGAAATGCTTGCTAAATTTGATCCAGTAATGCAAGAGCACATTCAATGTATTCAAAGGAGTGAAATTCATTACCATTATCTTGGCCACAAAATCCAAAATGAATTGATACAGATGTTAGCGAGTGAGGTCAAGAGTACGATTGTGGCAAGAATCAAAGAAGCGAAATATTTTTCAATTATTCTTAATTGTACTCCGGATGTTAGTCATGAAGAACAAATGTCTCTTGTGATAAGATGTGTAGATGTTTCAACTAGTCCGGTAAAGGTAGAAGAATTCTTTTTAGAATTTTTTAAAGTGGATGATACATCGGGGTTGGGACATTTTAATGTACTTAGAGAGGCATTGCAGACACTCCAACTTGATATTGGTGATATAAGAGGGCAAGGATATGATAATGGCTCTAATATGAAAGGAAGACACAAAGGTGTACAAAAAAGAGTACTTGAAATAAATCCAAGAGCATTCTACACGCCATGTGGGTGTCATAGGCTTAATCTTGCCCTTTGTGATATGGCTACCTCTTGTTCCAAAGCTATCTATTTCTTTAGAGTGGTACAACGCATATATGTGTTGTTTTCTTCTTCTACAAAGAGGTGGAAAATTTTCAAAGACAATGTGGAAGGTCTCACACTTAAGCCATTATCACAAACTCGTTGGGAAAGTCGCATTGAAAGTGTTAAAGCTATACGGTACCAAGCTCCACAAATTAGAGATGCTTTAATTCAGTTGGGAAAAGAAGCTGATGATCCTAATACAAAGTGTGAAGCCGAATCCTTAGTTACATCTGAAATTGAGAACTTTGAGTTTTTGCTTGGCATGATTATTGGGCACAATCTGTTGTTTGCTGTTAATTCTGTTAGCAAGACATTTCAAGCTGAAGACATGCATATTGATGTTGCTATACATCAATTAAAAGGACTCATTACATTTCTTGAAAAGTATAGAGAAACTGGATCTTTGGAGGCCATGATTGAAGCTAAAGAAGTTGCAATTGAAATGGAGATTGAGCCTACATTTCGTGAAAGGCGTGTCATTCGTAGAAAGAAACATTTTGATGAGAATGTTAGTGAAGAGGTTGCACAATCAGCTGAAGAATCCTTTAGAGTTAATTATTTCATATATATAATAGATCAAGCTCTTTCTTCACTTAAGAGTAGATTTGAATAATTTCAAATATATGAAGAAACTTTTGGATTTTTGTTTGATTTGAAGAAGTTAAATTCTACCAATGATGAGTGCTTGAAGACTTATTGTGCTAATCTTGAAGACTTTTTGAAACATGATGGGCTTATGGATGTTGATGGGAGAGATTTATTTTCTGAGTTGAAAGTCTTCAAAGAAATTTTGCCAAAAGAAATCAATAGGCCAATTGAGGTGATGAATTATTTGAAATTGACGGATGGTTGTTTTCTAAATGCCTGGATTGCATATAGAATATTATTGACTATTCCAGTTACCGTTGCCTCAGGAGAAAGAAGTTTTTCAAAGTTAAAATTGATCAAATCCTACCTTCAATCAACAATGTCACAAGAAAGATTGAATGGATTAGCTATATTGTCTATTGAAAAGGCTTTGGTAGATAAATTAGATTATACAAACTTAATTAGTGATTTTGCAGCTAAAAATGCAAGAAGAGTAGTATTTAAGTGATCGTTGGGTTAATTGTAAGTTGGATATTGCTAAACTATAAAGTAACAAAACCAGTTTTTAATATTTTTGAGTCATTGTACTGATTTCTTCCTATCTTATTATATATGAAAGTAAATTTTAGTTCATAATTTTAATGATTATATGTTCAAGTATACTTAAATAAAAAATTTGTGGATACTTATCATTTTATGCATAAATTTTTTATTAAAAAAAAATATATTAGAGGGGCCCCATTTTCACATGCGCCTTAGGCCCCACAAATCTCAGGGCCGGCCCTGAATGCAACTATTATAAAAAGGTAAAACGCAAAAAGCTAAAAACTAATTACAAAAAAAAAAGAGATAAGAAATTTTACCACGTGCAACTTTACTAAGATACCTAAAGGCTAAATGTCTCAGTAACAGATATGAAAGAAATCAACAATAATAAATCCCTAGTTTTTCAACTTCTTCAAGATTTATTGTCAAGTTCTGTCAAGAAGTATGAATTAAGCCTGGCATATTTCATGTTTTCAACCACCCCAGTACTTCCCCCAAATGTTACAAATAACTCCATCATTTTTCCCCCAAAAATTTCCGAATAATCAAGACCATTAAAATATGATAAACTTCTTTACCAAAAAAGAAGTCTTAAAATTTTTCCCAATCCCAGGTTACAATACAAACTACACTGAAGTGAATAATACCTGAATCCAAAATTTGTGACCATCTAATTATGCATTTAGTTAAACTGAACATATTCCACTGAAAGAAAATAATAATAATAATTACACATTTGTATGAAATTTAATAGGGAGAAGACCAAAATACCTCCTCACCCTTGTTAATGGCCTTGATACTTCCAACAATTATTCTGGGACCATATTCCTTAGCTCTCACTGCATCATAATTAACACAAAACACAAAAAAGGAACTACACTGAATTTGAAAGAATAGCTGATTTCTCATTTTTGCAAAAATATAAACAATGAATGACCTTTTGTTGATTCACATTTGTTACCATTTCCCATTCCTTCAATTCCATCACTGCTGGCAGGAACAATGCCCGACCGCGACTCGCCACCGGAACACTCATGCTGCAGCGAAAACCAGGAACAAGCATTGGGGGAGCAGCTGTGATTGATCCACGAAAATGTCGTATCGTACACAGCAATCCCAACGGCGGGACCTCCTCCGCTAATCTGAACCTCCACGGCGTTCGTTAGCACCACACACAACACCACCTCTTCCAATACACACTCCCCTAACCCCGAGCATTCTAAAGCCAAGCCGTCTCGCATCCTTCTCGCCATCGCCATGGCCTTCGCGCCATCCCTAATTCTCGCCAAAACGTCGCCGTCTTCTTCTTCTTCTTCTTCTTCTTCTTCTTCTTCGCTCAGGGAAGACATCAATTTATCGCGATTGCTCATCACACCGCCAATTCTCTCAAAGTGGTAGTTTTGGCGGGGAATGAGGTTGAGCAGCTCGAAGCGGCGGATGAGGCGGAGGGCGGCGCGGAGGTCGGAGGTGTCGCCGCCGCCGTGGAAGTGGCATTAGAGGAGGTGGTGCTCGGCGCTGGAGAGGTGGAGATCGGAGTCGGCCTCGAAGCATTATGGGGAGCAGTAGAGGACGGAGGAGGAGGAGGAGGAGGGGTTGGGGAATGGAAGGTGGGGAGGAGGAGAGAGAGGAGAGAAGCAGGCGGAGCAGTGAGAGAGGAGGGAGGAGGAGTGGCGTGAGAAAGCGAGGGGAGCCAGTGGAGGGAGGGGTTAGGTCTTCGCCTATGCTGATGTCTTCGCTCGCTCTCATCTCCATTTTTTCCTTATTCTGTCACTGAACTTTGAAGAAATATCAGACCGAAGCAGTCCGTTTGGATCCGATGATTTGAAGGGAAAATAAAATGCAAAACAAGGCTATCTTTGTTCAGCAATGCTAGGTACCATGAAAAATATTTCATGAAAATAAACATGAAAGATCTGTGACTGTTGGATTACACTTAGAATAAAGCACCACACATTAATTAAGATAATTCAAACATCATAAATTTTTCATGATGATTTTCATGACAAAATTTTCATAATCCCTAACTTTTCCATCTTTGTTTGCCCTGGGAATTAATGGGGGTGTTGGGGAAGAAAAAAAATAGCCTAGTTTTGGTTAAAAATTATAAAAAGACAAAATAGATTAAAATAGTTAATAAGACAAAATATCACATTAAACTCATAATCATTTCACTTTTTCTCTCACAAACATCACATCCAACCACAAAAAAATCCAATCATCTTCCTAAATACAAAAATTTTAGCCTACTAAAATAGCCAAAAACTAAAATAGCCAACTAAAATAACTACTTCCCAAACGAGGCCAATAATCTCTGATGTGATATGACCAAGGAAGTTATGGGTGTGTTGAAATTAGAAATTAAGTGAGAAAATTGGTGATTTTTTAAATGATTTTTAAGTAAAAATTATATTTTTTAGAATAAAAAAATAATTATGATATTAAAAAAATATTAAAAATTAAAATATATTAATTTTATATATTAATATTAATTATAGTATTACTAATCTGATGGTAAACACTTTTTATTTTACATCTCTAACTTAGGGAATGATTTTTCCTCAAAAAAGAAATCTCCCGTCCCGGACAGCCGAAAGAGAGAAAGAGAGAAAGAGAAGAGGGATTGGAGAGAGAGAGAGGGCCCCTCATTCGCCTCCGCCGCAACCAATCTATGGTAAATCAACCGGTCGATCGTCGCAGCAGCAGCTCGTCGCAGCCCCACCTCAGACCGCCGTTGCCTCCAGCCTCGCCTCTACCTCCAGCCCGATTTTGTTGGCCCCCTCCCCTCCAGTTCTTCTTCTTCTTCTTCTTCTTCTTCTTCTACTTCTCCTTCCTCTGATTTTCTTCTTCTGAAAAAAAAAAAAATCAAAAACGACATCATTTTTTGAATTCGAGGGATTCGGGGGGCTCAAATTCGAGCTACCAATCACTACTCTCTAACTTAATACCACTGTACTAATAATCTATTCACCCAATCTCAGTGTAATCTTAAATCCCTCCATCTTATAGAGCCAAACAAACATGATCACAGTCTCCTTCCAAATTGATATAGATGAAAAAAGAGGACAAATGCAGATAAATCTATGAAATTTCTCCAATATATGAATCCATTTTAGTACTTTTTAAAAAATATATATATTTTTTTTGTGTAAATTACTCCCATTATAAAGTTTATTTTCTTCTCTTGTTCCTTTTTTTTTTTATTCAACAAATAATAGATGATAATCCACCCTTTTATCTTTATTTTTCTAAATTATCCAAATAAAAAATGAGAGACTAGTATCTTTCATTTTCTTTTCCCGTTATATATGAATCCTCAATTCAGTATCATACTTGAAATGAATACTCTACATGGCACATTTTTTTAATGGTATGCGTGTGTGAGAGAGGAGTCAAGATTTGATTGTTTGAAATGGAAATCATTTACTTCAGGTACAGAATAATGGAGAAGATCAGAAGTCAGTTACTTCGTTTCATACATTATCTATATCTACATCAACAGATAAAAAATTGACGGCATATTATATGGATACATTACCACTACTATTTTGTTGACTCAGTATAAGTTGGCCTTGAATCAATACAAAGGATTCTCATCTGTGAGTTGAAGTTTAATATGAGACTACAAGATTTTGAATGCAGTTGTAGTTCAAGCAATCCAATGAGATAAGTGCTTATCAGATAGGTAGCTATGAATACCGTAAACAAACATCTTTCAAAATAAAATAGTAATGTTGGGGATCATATCTTTCTCATTCAAATTTTGTCATATTCAGTGTGTGGGGACATATTTTTTGAATGATAACACATGGCCAAAGTGGCACCGAAGTGCCAGCCGATGTGCCATGTGTCCTGGTCATGGCGCCGAGGTAATCTCGGATAGGTCAAGGTTATCTGTGGAGATACCGGAATCCAGGATAAACGGATAAGGGATAAGGAATAAGGGATATGAGTCCTAGAATGAGGGAGGACCTCAGCTTGGATAAGGATAAACCTCTTAAGGAGTTTATCTTTATCTATTGGAGAGTCTAGGATGAGCATTGGGTCAGAGTCCAAGAGAAGTTAGGCTTCTACAGGGATCAAGTTAGTGCTGACTATAAAAGTAAGGCATTCTCATGGGTCTAAGGTACGCTTTTTGTATTCTGGCTAGTGAATTAAGCACTATTTGCTATCTTTGAGAGATAATTGACTTCTGACTTGATTGTCGAAGTGCCCCTGAGTGGAAGAACCACCGCCGGAGTCTTATCTTTCTGTGACAGGTCGTTCGGACGCAATCTATTCTACCGGTGTTCTCCAGTTGAGTACCTGTTTGGCAATGTGGTCAGAAAGCATCACACACAATTTGGCGCCGTCTATGGAAAATAAAGGAGAATAAATAGCCAACGACGGACTGAAAGAGAAGATTGTGGACAACATCCCTACTGGAAGTAGTAAACACTTTGATCCTAACGTAGAGGAGGATAACTACAATGAAGAAACTCGGGATCAGAATCCCGGAGAGAAAGACATTGGCCAGGAGGGAGACGTACCAAATAAGGCAGATCGAGGCGAGTATTATAACGAGGACGACCTCCAAGTATGGAAAGATAGATGCCTACGGAAGGACGGTGAGATGAAAGAAATGGCGAACAAATTGGCGGACCTGCAATCGGTCGTCAATTTCATGATACAGAACAACGTCATGCAGCCACCGTTTCTGTTACAAGATACGCCGATTCCAGCGGCCAAAAAAGATGCCCAGAAAGGAGGACAGAAAACAGTTCCTACAGTCCCTCAACACGACAGGACCAAGGAACATTCTCACCGGCCTTCATGGGAGGTCGGGCCAGGAGAGTCGATGAAGGGAGAGTCTCGGAAAACACATCGTACCAAAGAAGCCTATACTAAAGAACATCGGCATGCTCAAGGGAAGGAGCTTAATGGAGGGAGGTCCAAGAGGACTCATAACGACATCGGGAGTAGCGCACCAAAGAGGCTAAAATCCGATGATAGCCGAGTTCCTAGACGGACCAAGGAGGATCTGAGGGATTACCTCTAGAGGAAGCGACAAGATGCCGAGATAACCTCTCTGGTCAAGCCGAGGACACCGTTCTCAGTAGAATTGGACAAATTTGAGGCCCCGAAGAGGTTTCACATGCCGAGATTCCAGATATACGACGGTAAGTTTGACCCTAATTTTCACGTCGGCTTGTACCTAAACTCAATGGCACTGTACACTGGGAACAAGCCGTTGCTCTGCAAGGTGTTCCCCTCATCCTTTGGGGAAATCGCATCAGACTAGTTTCACAAGTTGCTGAAAGGAACTGTGAAAAGCTAGGAAGGCCTGGCCGAGATGTTCGTGGCCAGGTTTGTGACAAACAAACTACAACCGTTGAGGGTGGACTCTCTAATGGCTCTGAGAATTGGCGAGGACGAAAGCCTTAGGGCCTATGCCAAAAGGTATTATGAGGTGTTCAACCGAATACCAGGATGCAACCAAGAGGTGGCGGTCGTATCTTTTAAGAACGGCCTAAACGATGATTGTCTGCTTCGAAAATCACTAGCAAAGACACTGTCAAAAAGTATGAAGGAACTTATGGCCAGGATAGAGAAGTATACGAGAGCCGAGGAAGATATGCTGAGGACAAAGGCGTCAAAACAAGAGAAGAGAAACGGCTCGCCGAAGCGAGGCCGTGGTACCACTGGATACAACAAGCAAAAGACAGGACTGAGGGCTGCACAGGCAGTCAAAATCGTATTCTGAATTCCGGTTTACAAAGTCTTGGAAAGAATTCGGAATCAGCCCTATTATAGAGCTCCAGAGAAGATTCCTGGTGAATTTATGGGAAGAAGTCTGGGGAAGCACTGCGCCTACCATAATGAGGATGGGCATCTAACTCACGGGTGCAGAGCCCTAAAAACACATCTGGAAGACCTAGTAAGATAAGGTCATTTAAGGGACCTAGTAGATGAGGCCAGGACGAGGGAGGAACAAGCGAGACTGCCTCAGGCTCCAGCAGTACCACCTCCGCTAGCACCACAACCGCAGATAGGCAGACCTCGAGTGATCAATATGATTCACTCGAAAGTGAATGAGCACGAGATGCGTGGGGAAACTCAGAAGGTAAAACACTTGTAACATGTGTATTAGGTTCGGCAGAGAAGACCTAGGGCAGACGAGCACCAGGGACCAATGGTGTCATTTTACTGAAGACGATCTAGACATGGTACAGCATCCACACAACGACGCCCTGGTAATATCCCTCAAAATTAGAGAGTGCCAGGTAAAGCGCATCTTAATTGACCAGGGAAGCTCTTGTGACATCATGTATGTCAGGTGTTACAAGGAGCTTGGCTTTCATCAAGATGATCTGGAGCAGTCCAATGGCCCAATGGTTGGGTTTAATGGAAAGCCAACATGGCCCCTAGGAGCAATAAGTTTAAAGGTGCATGCTGGCACCAAGAAGGTAAAAACGAAGTTCACAATAATTGACACCCGATCTCCTAACAATGTTATCCTAGGAAGGCCATGGCTGCATTTAATAGGGGCTGTTTCGTCAACACTACACCAGCTGTTACGGTTCCTAATAGAGCATGGAATTGAGGAGGTCAGAGGAGATCAGGTGCAGGCAAAGAATTGCTCCATGGCAGTAATGAAGTCCACCTGCAGCATGCGAGGAGTAGAATCAGCAGAAATTGAGGACGAGGACATGGAGGTCCTAGAGGACGTCGGCAAAGAACCAACCGAGAAGAGTGAGGAAGCCTTGAAGAAGATCCTAGTCCAACAAGGGGATAAAGAACGCTTCTTCTTTCTCTGCTCAGGCTTGGCTGAGGAAGACGAAAAAAAGTTAGAGGTTTTATTGAGA